TCCAGTGTCAAGTTTCCACAGTCAGTGATGGTTTGGGGCGCCATGTCATCTGCTGGTGTTGGTCCACTGTGCTTTCTGAGGTCCAAGGTCAACGCAACCATCTACCAGGAAGTTGTAGAGCACTTCCTGCTTCCTGCTGCTGACCAACTTCATGGAGATGCAGATTTAATTTTCCAACAGGACTTGGCACCTGCACACAGTGCCAAAGTTACCAGTACCTGGTTTAAGGACCATGGTCTCCCTGTTAACTGACCAGCAAACTCACCTGACCTTAACCCCATAGAAAATCTATGGTGAAGAGGAAGATGAGATACACCAGATCCAACAATTCAGAAGAGCTGAAGGCCACTATCAGAGCAACCTGGACTCTCACAACACCTGAGCAGTGACACAGACTGATCCACTCCATGCCACGACGCACTGCTGCAGTAATCCAGACAAAAAGAGCAACAACTAAGTATGAGTGCTGTACATGTTCATACTTTTCATGCTTTATACTTTTCAGTTGGTCAACTTTTCTAAAAATCCTTTTTTATTTTATTTTATTGGTCTTAAGTAATATTCTAATTTTCTGAAATGCTGAATTCATTAGTTGTCAGTTAAAATCATCAACATTAAAAGGAATAAACATTTGAAATATATCAGTCTGTGTGTAATGAATACATTTAATATACACGTTTCACTTTTTGAAAGGAATTACTGAAATAAATCAACTTTTTCATGATATTCTAATTGTATGACCAGCAGCTGTAATTGCTATAATGTGGTAGTAGCTGAGACTAACCTCTAGCTCACATTCTGAGCTCTAACTGCGCTATAGATCTTTGTTTCAAATGTTGCCATTACCCATTTAGAGTTTAACTAAATTGTCTGTAGGTGTGAGTGAGAGTGTGAATAGTTGTTTGTCTCATTTGTCTCTATGTCCCTGTGATGGACTGGAGACCTGTCCAGGGTGTCCCCCATCTCTCGCACAGTGAGGCAACAGATCTACCAACTGTGCCTCCTGCAGAGTCATTCACAACACAAATGTTTGTTTGACGACTCATAATATCAGACAAAATGACACGCTGTGTGCTATCCACTGCACAAGATCTTTGCTTTATTAGACTCAACCCTGTTTGTCTGTTAGCAAAATATCTCATGAGCGACTGAACGGTTTTTAATGAAACTTTCTGAATCTGGTCATTGGATGGACGTGTACAACTCTTTAACTTTTTGTGCTAGTAAATTTAAAGTTGAGCGTTGTAGCTAATCAACATTATCCAGCACAAAAATGGTTATAACTAAGTCAGTTTTGTTGATAATGGGTCAGGATATGACGTGGTAGTAGCTGAGTCATTCGCAGCACATACTTCTTGAGCACGACTATATTGGACGAGATGGAACGTTACGTAATGTTACCGTGAAAATTTGGCCAAAATGGCTACAACTGTCCTTTCTCATCATGAGACGATCTGTGATGAAAGCCGGCGGGTGATGTGCATTCCTTCAGGGATTCTAAGCCTTTAGTTTTAGACAGTATTACCTCAGCTGATAAAGATGTTTAAGTGTCACACATCTGTGTAACAGCTGCTGGAGTTGTGATCTATTGTGTGGTTACATCTTTAAACTGGTGGGAAGATAATTAATTTAGTTCTTCATGACCAGCGTCTGTGAAATATTCATATCGTTTAACCCAAATACTCTTCTCACATGTCTCGACTTGATATAGATGAGGCTGAAGACGAAGTTCATTTCAGGTTTTCTAGCTGCCGTATTAGAAGATTGATTCCGTAAAGTGTCCTGATTGATGAGGCCTTTGTGGCAGGATGTGTTGAACTAAACGACACGTTCAGGGGTTCTCCGACTTTCAGTGTTCAGGGACCCCCTCATAACCCTCGTGCTTTATTCAATATTTTTTCTTCAGTTTGTCTCTTTAATGCAATGGAAATATTTGTGTAACATAAATATTTAAGACCTGTTCTTTAATAGTGTTAATACAATTTTTATACTTTGAAACATGGGGTATTTTTCATTCAAGACGCACTTAACATTTTTAATTTCAACTTACAAAATTTCCACCAGAAAATTTTGAATAAAGTAGATGCTATTTCCTACATTTTGGTGTATTTTAGTGGGTTGTTAAATGTCGGTGTGCCTGTTTAAAAAATAAATATATATTATTATTATTGTTTTATTTTTGGACCCCAATCATTGGCTCGTGGACCCCTAGGGTTCCGGGGACCCCAGTTTGAGAACCACTGCCCTAGTTTACTGGCCTTGGCAGGGTGCTCATATCTTCCATGATTTTTGTTGGTGGGTTGGGGGAGGAGGGGGAAGTGGGCACAGACACATCTGTGTTGCACTTTTTGTACCAACAGCTTTTGAGCGGGGGGGCGGGGTTGGATGGAGACATCTCGGTGTGAAATGGAGCGCTACCTCCATTGTCATAACTTTTTAGCTAGCACAGCTGTATTGCACACGGCTAGCTTAGCGCTACATCAGTGCCGGCACTTGTCGAGGGTGGGGGGGAGAGGAGTTTCGGCAGGCGGGGTGCCGTACTTGTATAATGTTAGGGGAAACATTACGATTTATTTGATATTCCTAATCTGGTTTGTTACTGGTAATTCCTGCTTTTCCTGCTTCTGCATGTACAGATATTGAGCTGAACTCTAGTGTGGTAGTAGCTGAGAGTCATCCCCATCACGTGCTTGGAGCGCAAACCGGATCACGAAAGATCTTTGTTTAAAACATTAGCATGCAAGGAGGTGGGCGACACACATTCCTTCAGGGTAGCATTTGAGTCTAAAAAAAAAAAAAAAAAAAAAAAAATCAAGCCCGACTCGAACCCGACCAATTAACTGTGATTAGAGGCCTGAACCTGAAGGGAGAAAAAAACAAACAAAAAAAAAACAACAGAACTTTTTTTTAAATTAAGCTTTTTTTTTTTTTTTTACTGCTTTTGTAAACAAATTAGTTTGACATCATTTAAAAACATATTTCAAAGAAAGGAAGGTTAGCGCGCTTTCAACCAGCCGGTTAGCGCGCGGTCGGTGATCCAAATTGGATTGTCAGCCGCGCTCGTCCGCTGACGCAATCAAAAGCCCGACACCGACCCAGCCTGCCCATCAAGCATATCATTTTGGCCCAGCCCAAATTTCGTGTCAGGCCCCTGTTAGAAATGACAGCGCTACTTCAAGGTAGTTTTAATCACAAAGTGTTTTTAGATTGCCTACGCTTTAACTCAATCAATTTCATAAAATTTGGCTTTATGGGATTTATTTGGTCAACAATGTGGAGAATAAGAAAAAAAGGAAAAACATAATTCCTCCTGAGCTTGTCTGACCTGGAGTATCCTCCATTTAAAAGTGCTGTTCTTATTTTAGCGAGCGTTACAGTGCTGCCGCCCGAGTGCTGTAAGTGGTCCCTTATAGTCTTACGGACGTTTAAATCATTTATGCTTGACACATATAAAATGAACCGCGCACACAGATGTCCTGGCATCTGGAGTGACACTTTGTAGCTATATGGCACGTCGTGGGGACAAGCATTGCGTGCAAACTCCCAGGACTGAAACGTACTTGATGCTAGTTATACTTTTAACATTTAGTTGGAAATAAAAATGCTTTAGACTGTGTGTAGCAAGAACAGTTAGTGGTGGTTAATATGTCTGTTTCAGGAATTATACTGTGCCAAAAGGTGAAACGACACATGCTCAGCTTCTATTATATGAAGTAATTGCAGCTTGGTAAATTTTGTGTAAATGGGAAATTAAATGTAGAAAAGGTTATCCAGAGCTAATCCAAATGATGCAGATTGAAAGCGTTTACTCCAGCAGTTTTCCAGATATGTTATTTAATTCTGAAACTGAAGCTGTTTGCAGAAAACCACATTGAAACTTTAGGCAATGCGATTTCCCTTCATTAGGGTGGCTGCAGTATGTGGGTAAACAAATATGGTGGAATTGGACCAGTGTAGAATCTCAAAGATATGCAAGTAGAAATATAAATGGACTGTACTTAGGTGGAGCAGTATGTCAGTAGCATTTTGCTAGTGCATTTGTATTGTGCCCCACACTACATCATACCGACAGTTCTCGATGGGTTTGGGGAGGGGGTTTTGGTAGGCTGGGTTTTTGGTTCTGTTGGCGGTGCGCCCCGCTTGTTTAATGGTAAGGGAAACATTATGGGGGATCAAGCAGGATGCCTTAAAGGTGGAGCTCTTATTCAAAATTGAAAAGTGATGTCCCAGTGCTTCCCCTACCATTATACAAGCAGGGTGCCCCACCCTGTCGACAGAACCGAGCGCCCTGCCTACCAAAATACCCCCCCCCCCCAGTCGATATCTGCTGGCACTGATGTTGCACTAAGCTAGCCACGTTCAATACAGACGTGCTAGCTAAAATGCTACAGAAGTAGCACTCTGTTTTCCTAATGATGAGCCGTTCCCCCACCAACAAAAATCATGGAAGATATGAACGCCCTGCCAAGGCAACTAAACCGGGGGAAACCCTATATATTCTGTTAAAAAAAGAAAAAAGTTACATTAAAGGATTGAACTGCATTAAAACGTTTGGTTTTAAGGTCTTTTAAGATGAAAATTTGCTCGTAGTCATTAGCTTGATTCCTACACAAGAATTTCCCACTCGCTTTCAAAACTGAGATCACTTTGACAGTCATCTACTGCAGGTAAGATACTGACTGCTCACATGAACTCCACTGGAGTCCACCTCATAAAATCTGAACTGTTTAACTTTTGAAAAGCTGTCAGAGTGAAGCAGGTCTTCAGCTCATGTAACCTGCTACATCTTCGTGCGTCGGTTCTGTTAGCAGGAACACATTGAAACTGAAGGGGGACGTTTAAGCGGGCGTGTCTCGCAGCGAGCAGTGGAAACTGTTACAGGGTTGTCAAAACACTCTGCGACCCTCTGACAGCTGCCTTCTACTTGACGTTTTTCTACAACTGGCAGCTAAGTCTTGAACGAAGAAGAAGTGTTCGAGTGAAGAACACTTGTTTCTCATTGTTTAAGAGCTAAAAAGAGCCACGGAGAAGCTAAAAAAAGAGAACAAACGCAGATGAGCGGAGCTGAACAGTCGCCCTAGTTCTGTCGAGAGGTTGCGTGGCGCTAATGACTGTTTACACTTCGTCCTTCTGCTTAATTAACGAGTCAAAGAGCTTTTGCTTGTTCTTGCTGCTGTGGTGCCTTCATTGTTAATCACACAGGAGGATATCTGTCAGCCATGTTGTCACACAGCCTTTAGATATCTAACTGATCAAACACGGGCTGCAGCTCCATTCTGACTGACGTGTCGTGCACAGTAAATGCTTCGCTGTCGGAGTAGTAGGAATATGTCTGTTGTGACCAATCCCTTCACTGTGCTTGGAAAGAATTCCTGTTTCTGGATGTGTTGAAAATGAATAAGAGTGAAGGCTCAGCTGATGTTTTTAAACCCTGGCTGTGTCTGTTGAGGCTTTGTGCTGCATTTATCAGTTTTAACCACAAGAACAATTAAAACCTTAACATTCTGTGAAGGAATGCAGATCTTCGTTTTGAATTCGTTTAGTCTTTGTCGAATCTTGGACTTGCTGTTTTGAGCGATCTCATGGGCTGTCTTGAAGCATGTGAGGATGAGTCTCTGCTACTACCACACCAAATCTGAGCGCTATCGCTGTAAAAGTTGACTGAGCTGGAGTCATTCTAGTATTTGCTCTGGTTGACTGGATGTTTTGCCCATTTGGAACAGAGATCTGGAAGCTTTCCTTTGAAATCTGTCATCTAGTCCATGTGATATTTTGCTAACAGACAGACAAATGCACATGCGCGTGTGCATGTGTTCAAGATAATTGTACTTCCTCCAGTTATTTAACAGTCCACAATACCATAAAGCTTAGTCTTAGGACCCACCCTCTTCACAATCTACATAGGTAATGTAGGTTAGATCATCCCTGATTCATCCTTACATTTCTATGCTGATGATTCAGTTGTTTATTGTCGAGCTGAAACAGTTGCTAAGTCTTTCCAGCTTTTGAAATCTGTTTTTGACATCATCCAGTCAGATTTGTTCTGCCTCAAACTTGTCCTAAACGCCGACGAAACCAAAGCAATGCTGTTTTCAAACAGGAAGTCGGCCCCAGCAGTTCTTTCTCTGAATTTATCCTCAAATGGTGTCCCTATTGAGTTTGTCGATTCCTACAAAAATTTGGGTATCTTGGTCGACTCGCATCTCTCTTTTAAGCCCCACGTCGAAAACTTGGTAAAGAAACTGAAAGTTAAACTGGGTTTCTTTTTCAGAAATGGATCTTGTCTAACTCTGAATGCTAGGAAACGCCTTGTAAGTGTGACTTTCCTTCCCTCCATTGATTACGGTGACATTATTTACATGAACGCTCCTACAAGAACCCTGCAGATGTTTGATGCTGTCTATCATGGTGCACTAAGATTCATAACTGGCTGTGATTATCGTACCCACCACTGCACCCTGTATTTACTGGTTCACTGGTCATCATTAACTTCACGCAGACTCTCTCACTGGTACATTTTCATCTTAAAATCACTTCTTGGTCTGCTGCCTTCATACATCTCCTCCTACATGTCTCTGCGTGAGTGCAGCTACAGTGTGCGCTCTCAGGACATCATTACCTGCAGTGTTCCCTCAGTGAGGACTGAACTAGGCAAAAGGGCCTTCTCCTACTCTGCTACCGTTTCCTGGAATATCTTACAAAAAGATCTGAAGCTCTCGACCTTGACCTCTCTAAGTGGCTTCAAATATCTGTTAAGTTCATGGGAAAAACCAATGCAGACATGTTCCTGTTTTTAGTTTTCTGCATTGCCTTACAACCTAGCTGTTTTTTTGTTAGATTTTTTTAATACCATTTTATTTTCACTTGTTGTTCTCAATTTGTACGTATCCGTTATGATTGTCTATTGCTGTCTTGTGTCCACTGTCGTCACTCTTAGTTAAAATCAGGTCTCTTGTAAATGAGTCCCCGAGGCTGAATTGGATTAACCTGTAGAAGTAAAGGTTGAATGAAATGCACATGCGAACAGGCCACCTTTGACTCTGGGTTTTCAACATTGGTAAAACGTGACATATGGAGTTTTCTCTGCTCACAACTCCTTTTCTTACCTGTGTTTTTTTTTTATTTTTTTTTAGGGTTCAGCAGCTGGAGGGACAAACGTACAGCAGACCTCACATCTGGAAAAAGAAAAAAAATCTCAACATCCTGACCGGCGTTAACTGGGATCTGTTACAAGCTTCCTGCTCTCTAGAGTTGTAAGCATCCAACTGTAGCCAAACCAGCTGCTTTGTCTCGTTAATAATTAATAGGTTCTTAACAGAAACGTGTGTATCGCTTTAATTTCCGATTGAGCCTCGAAGCTATAACATCTTTTCATTGCATTTACAGAAGTGCCGCCGCAGTGCTTTTTTATAAAAGTTGTTGATGCAATAGGTCACTTGTGAATAATTTACACTTCCCAACATCTTGCTGTGCTTCCAAAAAGGCATCAGAGCATTCTACGCCGTTAAGTCCACGCTCTCAGGATGGCAGAGCCACAGATTTATGCTACCGGCATGGCTGCCAAGCTCCGGAGCCAGTGGGATCGAGACCAAGGCCTGGGGCAGAACGACAACGCCGTGAAGTTCCTGGGTCAGGACTATGAATCTCTCCGAGCCCAGTCCCTCCAAAGTGGGAGACTGTTTGAGGATAACTTGTTCTCTGCTTCTCCTTCGTCTCTGGGATTCAACGAGCTTGGTCCCAGATCCGCCAAGACCTCCGGAGTGCGCTGGATGAGGCCCACGGTAAGGACATGAAAGGGGAAACCTGGGTAGTTCTTTATTATTTGTGCTTGTGTTCCAACTTTAAGGATTGCTAAAAATGAAGAAATAAAATGTAGGTAAGACTAGCTGCTTCAACACAAAGTTTAGTTTAATGCAGTGGTTCCCAACTCTGGTCCTTGAGGAACGCCGTCCTGCATGTTTCACTTAGTTTCCCTGCTTTGACGCACCTGACTTGAATGAATCGTTGATTAACCGGCTTCGGCAGAACTTGAGGAAGTAATTAAATCACTGAGTCAGGCGTGTTGGAGCAGGAAACGGCTGAAATGTGCAGGATGGCGTTCCTCAGGGACCAGAGTTGGGAACCCCTTTGATCTAATTTCAAACTAAACCAAATCCTTTACAGCTTGGACTTTTAACAAGTTAGGAAAAACTTGTGATATTTCTGCACAAGCATGGATAAATAGATTATTTGAGAGAAAACAAATGGACAGATTGTTAGATCTTTTAAAAAGAGACTTGTCCCACGTTGAGCCGTGAGACCAGTTCTGCTCCTGCAGTTCTGGGTGGCTGTGTTTACATTCTGTGAAGGTTAACGGTCCGTGTTGAGTGACACGCATGTAGGTACTAGGCGTGCGCACTGATGGACAAGCTTTTAATAGATCCAGTTTTGGGATCAAGTCAAGGAGCAACTTTTTACTGTCTTTGCACTGATGAAACCAAACTTATTCAATTATTAGATCATGTTCTACGCTTGTGTTTTAAAGCATGCCTGTCAATAATTTAATATTTTGTGCTATTCCTACTACTGAAATGTACTTTTATGTCAGAAAACGGATGATGACTAACACGGAGCAGCCTGTGGCGTATGAAGGGTGGAGTGTGACAAAATTAAATAAATGCATCATAATTAAATGTATCATTAAATTATTCAATACATCATTAAATCGTTAAATATACAATTATAAATAAATACATCATGAAATAAAGAATTTAAAAGGTACATTTATTTATTTCATGGGACATTTAATGTGTTTTTAATTAATTGTATATTTAATAATGTATTGCATAATTAAATGATACATTTAATTATGCATTTATTTATTTTGTTTTGTCACATTTCACTCTCCACAGTGGTGGGAAGGTTTTGACCTAATCAATAGTGTTGCACTTTAAAACTGATGCCTCAGTAAGCGTTGAGTAAGGTATCTTTGTCAGGCTGAAACTGTTTAGTAACAGCAATGTGTGAACTAAGTTTTTAATTTCTTCACATTTATATAGAATGTAGATAATGGGGTTCTGTGGAAAAGTTGTGAATAATTAGTGTCTTACCTGTTGGGGATAGCTTTCATTGACCTTGGTTTGAGGAAATGCTTTAATTCTTACCAGATTGATGAGCTAACATTTAGTCCAAGCAGGCCCAGACTGAAGTGAATTTTTTGCCATTTTGAAACAACTCTAGACAAAAAATTTCCCAGTGGGTTATTTTTTATTTTACTATTTTTAAACATTTACGTTGCAGCCAGTTTTGCAGTACACGGTTATTTACCTAGAGAACTCTGTGGTTGGTTCACTTGCTTAGTGGAAGCAGCAGCTAGCTGTAGCACGTTAATGCATGCAGCAGCACTTCCTGCAAGAATATCAGAATTTTTCAGCTGGTATTTCAAAAATGTTTATAAAATAACATTTGCATGAACATCTAAATTATTTTTAGATTTGTCGTTTTAAGGCGGCAGCAGTTCTCATTCCTCTTGGTGTAGCCAAGCTATTAGCTCATCAATCTGGTCAGAATTAATTTCTTTCTTTAAACTGAGGTTGTTCAAAGAGTTATCTACAACAGGGAAGATATTAATAGTTTCCTTTCTTGTTTTTGTTTTTTTTATGCTAGAAAGTTGTAATTTTGAAAATGATAGTTTTCAAAATTAAACAGCTGGAAGAACATCCCCCAAGAGTAATGTCCATAATTTTTGTCAGGGTTTGTAGTTTGTGTCTCATTGAATTACAGAATAATTTGTCTCGATGCATCATATTGCAAGACAAAAGAAAGGCCTGTGTTGTCATTTACAATTGACTTCTGTCGTGTTTCATAGGTTTTTCCTCCTCTAATGTATGTTTAGTGGATGAAATTGTTGACGGTGTGTTGATACGGATCAAACAGGTCTCCAGTTTTGTCTGATCTTGTGAGAGAAATGAGCAAACCAGTTGTACAAAACCAAGCCCAAAAGGAGCGACCCACCTCCCATGTAGCCTCACAATAAAGCAGACGTGGGCAACTTAAGACACGAGGGCCAAAAGTGGCTCTTGGACAATCTCCATCAGGCCCACAATGTCCATTGTTAAAAGAAAAAGAAAAAAAACTTTTTTAAATAAAGAGTGATTAAAATAAAAAAAAATAAAAAAAAAAGCAATTAAAAAAAAGCAGTAATTTATTAATGAAACTTAAGGAAATTTAAATTAAATATCTTGCACAACTCATTATTTTTTTAAGTAGTTTTTCCAAAACTAAACTGAATCTTAGACTTAGAAACACAACATTTGCTTTGCATAGTTCCGCTAACATGCGCAGTGTGACGTGTTAAACCGACATGCGCAGTGTGACGTGTTAAGCCGACATGCGCAGTGTGACGTGTTAAGCCGACATGCGCAGTGTGACGTG